GCTATAAAAAGATATAGCATCTGGGGTCTTAAAAAGGCTTGAAGATAAACAAGCGGCCATCTAGCTGAGAAGCAACAAAGCCCACATGGAAGAAGCACACCAGCCTTTGTGATCATGAGATGTCCATAGAAACAGGTATCAGGCATCAAAGAACAAAAAATCATGTCATTGTGAATGAGGGGGAGTGCAGAGTGGAGACCCAAAGCCCATCTGGCAACTGGACATCCCCTTACAGAAGGGTAGTGCGAAGGAGATGAGCCAGTCAGGGTGCAGTGCAGTGTAGCAACGATGAAACATACAACTTTCCTCTAGTTCGTAAATGCTTCCTCCCTGCCACCCCCACTATCATGATCCCAATTCTATCTTACAAATCTGGCTAGACCAGAGGATGTACACTGGTACAGATAGGAACTGGAAACACAGGGAATCCAGAACAGATAAACCCCTCAGGACCAACAATGAGAGTAGCCATACCAGGAGGGTAAGGGAAAGGTGGGGAGGAGAAAGGGGGAATGGATCACAATTATCTACATATAACCCCTTCCTGGGGGATGGACAACAGAAAAGTGGGTGAAGGGAGACATCGGACAGTGTAAGACATGAAAAAAAAATTATAAACTATCAAGGGTTCCTGAGGCAAGGAGGTTGGGGGAGGGAGGGGGGAAAATGAGGAGCTGATACCAATGGCTCAAGTAGAAAGAAATGTTTTGAGAATGATGATGGCAACAAATGTTCAAATGTGCTTGACACAATGGATGGATGGATGGATTGTGATAAGAGTTGTATGAGCCCCAACAAAATGATTTAAAAAGTGAATACCTGTGCAACTACATCTAGTACCGCATTTGCGTCACATTCCACAAATAACGGGAAAATAAGAAAAACGACATCATTTTAAAAGAAAGAGAGGAGTCCATAGCCTGAATGCACCCGCCTGCCCCCCCCCCCCCAATTTAGCCGACCCAAACCCTCCGAGTGGGGAGAAAAGCAGAAAAGTCACCCTGAGCTGACTTCAGCGCTTTGGTGACACCCGACGAGGAGAAGCGGGGGTCTCCTGGGACCCTGTTGTTCCAGCAGCAGCTTCTAGCTACGGCGGCCGGCTGGTCAGTAGGCAGCTCCCTGGGATTCAGTTCTTGATTTTCCCACTGGGTCCTTTTGGGACTCATTCTTTCCTCACTTCACAGAAACTGCTCCTGCAGAGAGCCAGGGTCCCTCGCCAGGCCCGTACTGACCACGTCCAATATCCCTCCCTGCCTTCCCGAGAGTCAACTTTGTCACCTTCAGGAAGAGACCGATGCGCAGGGCACCTCTTTTACCATGGTCCCACGCACCCAGTGTCCGGCCTTGCCTGTTGGGCAGAAGGGACCCACCACCCTGAGTGCCGCCGGGTGGGGATGACCACTGTCTGCCCCACTAACTCGGACACCTTGATGCATGCCGTTGGCTAGGCCTGGCTCCCTGAGACCTCACGCACGGGCAGCCATCCTGCAGTCCTCCGGCCCCCTGGGTGTGCTCCTGAGTCCCCTTTCCCTGTGCTCTGTGCCCTACCAATGGGTGCCCCTGTTCTGCACCTGCCCCATGGGTTGGGCCAGTAGAAGTGCTACTGAGAGGCTGAGGGAGGAGGGGGACTGTGGTCCAGGCATTGACTGGTTGCCTTGACACCTCTCTGGAGACGCTCCATTGGCCGCATCCCTCCATCAAGGTCAGACCCTGTCCAGCGGTTGCTCCGTCTTCTGCAGCATCCCTCGCCCTGCTCATCCCTGCCTCCTGCCGGTATCTTTGCCAAGAGCCCATTTGTGAAGCCCTCCTCCAACTGCCCCACCGGAGCATGCCATCTGCCTCCTGCCAGGATCCCGACCAAACACAGATGCTGTTCTGGGGCAGTGACACACAGAAAGTAGAAACCAGAAACAAAGGATTACGAGAGAAAATGCCACTCTTGGAAACATCAACCACGGGTTCCAACAGCCCACAGTTTAAGAGGAGAACTTCAAGGGCACCGGGGAACATGGGGTCGCAATGATGAGGCAGCCCTGCACGCCTCTGCCTGAGAGAGCGGCTGGGGCCACGGGCCTTCACAAGCTGCGTGGGAAGACAGGATAATCAAACGTGGGCCCTGGACTTTAGAAACCCCCGAGTAGCCACGTGTGGACATCAGAAAGGTAAAACACACGCGAGCAAAGCCCTTGCTTGCCCAGATGAGCAACTGGCCAGCTGCAAGGAGGCAGGGAGGAGGAGAGGAGTGAGGAGGAGAGGAGGCAGGAAGGAGAGGAGGCAGGAAGGAGGAGAGGCTTGGAAAGGAGCCAGGTGGCTAAGAAAGGGGGTGTTTGGCCAGGTTGTCTGGAGAAACAAGTATAGTGGCAGTCAGCTGTGCAGAAGAAAGGGCTTTATACCAAGGAGTACTTACATATCAAGAAGGCATCCCAGCCCAGGCCAGCTCAAGTCCCTGCACCCAATGCTGTCCATGAATCCCTCTTCAGATTATGCGGCTGCAGGCCAGTGCTGCAGAATGGGGACCGTGAAACAGAGGGAGCACAGGCTGGTAGGTGCAACGTCCTGTGGATCCAAGGTGGGTGGAAACCCAGCAGGATGCCGGCAGATCTCAGGGTTGGGTGGCCCATATGGGGTCACCACTCAAGGTAGGCAGAGTCCCAGCAAACAGGAAGGTGAAAGGGCAGAGAGGAAGGTTGCCTCCAGCATCTCCCACTCTTACACCAAGAGGCCTATAGCATCAAGGAGGTGTCACCAGGCTGTGACTTGATTGACAGGTTGAACTGTGTCCCTAGCCAGGGGTGCCTAGTCATCTAACTTCCACAGGAGAGATGAGATGAGCACACAAAAAATAGGCCCTTGGAAACTACTGAAAACCATTGAAACTAACAAAAAAAATCGCAAGTAAACAAAATAGAGCTAAAGAGGTAAAACAAGTCCAGAAATAACACATATAAGAGGTATGTTAATAGTTTGAAAACCAAAATGAAACGAGTTACTTCTAGAAAAATGTAAAATGCAAAAATTGACTCAAAAGAGAGCTTGACCATATGATTAGTGTGCGCTGACCAAGGCGGGGGTTCAGGCGCCATTCCCCCCGGCCTCCCAATGCCTCCCAGGAGGCAGGACGAGATGATGATTGGATTAGCTCAAGTTTGGAAGCTCACTTCATTTACCTCTGATGTGGTGGTTCTGGCAGAGAGAGAAAAAGAGGGTCTGTCTGGCCCGTTTGTGTGGTACCGAGCCCCATTGGTCACAAGGGAGATGCTGAAGGTAGCTGCGGAGTGAGCAGAAGCCATGCCCTCCCTAGTGTGAGAGGGTTAAAAGGGCCCACAGAGTAAAGACCTCAGAGCAGTGCAGGTGCTACCCAAAGGAGGGAGGCTTGGCCACAAAGTTCTGGAGATGCTGAGGATGCTGTCAATATGGAGGGTTTTATGGAAGCTGGGGGATGCTGAGGATGCTGAGATACTGAGATCCTGAGGACCCTGAGATGCTGAGATACTGAGGATACTGAGATGCCGAGGATACTGAGATGCTGAGATACTGAGGATACTGAGATACTAAGGATGCTGAGGAACTGAGGATACTGAGATAC